ACCGGGGCGGGGGGTGCTGCCAGAGACTAATCCTCAATCACCCGCCGTCCAAGCTCGGGGTCCGTGACAAACACAAATCCACCGATACTTTGATTGATCCAACGGGCGGCGGAAGGAGCGGAACCGAATGACCAACGCCTCGGCAGCGGCAGCTCGTTGCCAATCGACCGTGGCCTTTTCCCTCTCTCCCGCCCCTACGTCCGCCGCGGCGAGATGGCGAGAAAAATCGTTCGTTGTGCAAAGATGCGATGGCTTATGCACCCTGCAGTGTGCACTGTGATGACGTACGTGGGCGCAGGGACGAGAAGAGGATACGCAAGAGGTCTTGGCTGAGCGCAAACTCTGGATGGATGATGGCCACCGACGTGTGTTGCGTGTGGTTGAGGGCTCAGGAACCTGCCAGCTCGTAGAAGGCAATCGTGAAAACGTTGAGCGAAAAGCAAGGAAAAGGGAAAAAAGAAACCAAAAAAAACCAAAAAAAAAAAAACCAAAAAAAAAAACCAGAGGAAAAGGAAAACGAAAAGAAAACGTCAACGTCCGTCCGTCCGTCCGACGAATTACCTGCAGACCCCATGGCCTTTTTGTCTTGCGTACCGACTCCTTCGAACGTGGGCCAAAACGTGTGGCGTTTGCATCTTTAGAATGTCGAACTTCACCAGCGTCGCGGATTGTGGCCTAAAATACCCCCAGCCGTAACGCGATTGGCTGAAACGGTGACTTCGGTGGGCCCCGCACCAGGGGAAGCTTGCGTGCGGGTCCGCCTGCCATAAAAGTAAGCGCCTGAACCAACGCTCTAGATTAGGCGCTTGCATCTCCGCCCCCTCTGGCAGATCTGCCCGCTCGCTCCCAAAATAGGCGGCAGCTGCACCTGGCCTGTGGATGGACGAAGAGCAGATACACAGCTTGGTAGCGAGTTTCGGACTGGGTAAGGCTGAGTTCTCAGGATATCGATCGGAAGCGCTGGCAGGCAATCAAACCCAGAACAGCGTAGATAGGCCAAAAAGTATCTCCGGCACAAAACGACGCCGAAAGAACGTTAGTCAAACTCAGCTCGCACAACGTTAAACTCCGGTCGAGATGGACGCCGGCACGGGAACAGCGATAGCGACGCAGGTACACAGTTGCGTTATGGTTATGGCAGTCACAGCCATCGCCCTTCGCGCGTGCATAACTGTCCTTTCGCCCGATCGAGCCGAAGGCAGGTCCACGTCCGTGGGCAGGAAGCCGCGCCGCGACACGAAGATATCCAAATTTCATGCACGACTCGAAGGGCTGGGCGCGCGGCTGGAACGGCGATGCCGAGTCGCAGCACAGCCTCTTGCACGGTACAGCGATGCACACGCGTCGCCGTGTTGGCGCTCTTGGCAGCGACCGTGAGATCACAGCGGGAGATGTGCGCGCCCCTGTCCTTCTCGTCAGCGAGACGATTGCGATGATCAGTGGACGGTCTGGAGGAGAGGGCGGAATGCGGTGACGCGGGTCGGCCGGTGACGAGGCTGATACCGCTCGAGAGCAGCGCTCATCAAACGTGAGCAAAGGAACGGAAGGGGTTTCGTCTGTGCGCAAGCCATCATGCAGGCCAGGCCTGTCCGAAATGCAGTCGGAGCGCACGCGGTCAATCGTCCGAAACGTGATCGCGACGGGAGAGAGCTCACGTCACGCAGGTACTTACGATGCGAGGAGGCAGCCAATATAACTATCGCGCGTCCAGCTTCGGCTTCCCCACGTGTTGGCCCCTGCCGAGCTTCTGAACATCAACTTCCTCCTGCTCGGCTGACAGCTGGGCGGTGTTGTTGTGTGCCTGCCATCAGCGTTTTCCTCGCGGAGTCCAAGATGAACAGAGCAGGGAGGTTTTGCCACTCGGTCACATGGTGTAACGGTTAGCACATCCGATTTTGATCCGGCGTTCGGGCGTCAAAATTTTCCGGGGACCTGGGTTCGACTCCCAGATGATCCTCACTTTTGCTGCGGTGGTTGGTTTTTGTTGGCAGATCCGCAAGCACCGTGGTTGAGGATCTTCACGGTTCGCCGCGCTTGACGTCCCGGGCGGAAATGATCGTTGGCATTTGCCACAGGAATCCCTCCTCAACTGCCAGCTCACCACTGACTAATTGGCTGTCGTCGCGGCGTTGCCAAGGAATGTGTTTTATCCCCGACTGCATCGCACTAGATACCGGTAGGCAATCTACGTGCTCGTTGACTATCCCGCGTTGCTCCTGTAGAGTAATCCTGCAAGGCACGGTATGGCGCCCAGTTTTGTGGGTACACGTAGTTAGGTCACAGTATCTGACTCGTACAACGGCGGGGCATCGGGGTCTTCCAGGCACTGGTCGATCCTCACGATCTTCTTCCCAGCCATCTTCGCCGGAGCGACGAACGAACTCGGGAAAGCAGTCGACAGTGCTCGGGTAGAGGTAATGAGCCACGAACAAGTTTCGACATCGCGTTTGACCGCTTCCACCTGCTTCTGCGGTGCGCTGGGCTCGGTCTTCGATGTCGATACTCTACGGAGGGAGCGCCAGTGATCGCTTCACGCGCCATCACCCATTGAATGAAACACGCGGGAGGCGGGGGGGGGGGCAGGGAACGTACCCCATTGATAACCCGACCAGCAGCAGCTTCCCATCGCTGACGCGTAAGCTCCGACCGGAGGGAGCACGTCGCGACCCCTAGCTGGTTCTTGGCAGCCGCGATGCTGTGCAAAAACCCGCCATCGATCTCCGGGGCCGTGAGGGATCCCAGCCAGCTTGGGGTGCGTCATCGAGTGTAGCGTCACCTGGAAGTAATCCGTCAGTCCGGTTTCATCGGGGGGGGGGGGGGGGGCGAACTTGATGACCCCGCTGCAGCAGCGCTTCGGCGTGTATAGCCGTGAAGTTCCCCAAGGAATCGTGCAGTGAGGATCCAACGGTCACTTGGATGCCCGAGTCGGCGAGGGTCTTCGTCATTCTCCGGGCCAGCCGTCGTCGATGCCAAAGGCGACACTGTTGGGCCGAGCGCAGGCGAACACCAACGGCGCGGTCCTCCTCTTATCTGGGACGCTCCTTCCCTTCGACAGTGAAGCCGCAATCCCTACCAGCGCGAATGCCGTGGCCGCCGCAGGATTTCCAAACGCCTTGAACGCAACGCTCAGAGCCCTGGTCTTTTCGGTGTTGAAGTGCGATCGCGGTATGTAGATTCCGCCATTCTATGCGTCACCGGCCGGATAAGCCACATCCCAAGTCTCTGGATAGGGAGCCTTGGTCTCGCCGCGAGTGGGATTGTTCTGTCGCAGCGCTGCAGTGGAATCCACGCTGCCGGTGAGGCGGACGTGGAGGTGGTGGGACGCGAGGGGGGTGGGGTCTTGACGTCCAACTGCGTGTAGAAACTGTAGTCCGTATCCGACGCTTTGATCGCAAGCGACCCGGCGTTGAAGGTACAGGTTATTCCCTCGGGTTCGTCGCAGTGTGGGAGCGTCAGTCAGTGAGGTTTGCCAGGAGCGCGGGGAGACATACCATGCCGGCTGCCCAGGGCATTGGTGTCGGCGGAGGTGAATTTGTCAATCGAAAGTGCGGGGATGAGACTGGGCGCAGCGGCCAGCGGCAGCAGGAGGTGGGAGAGCATTGCAGGTGCGGAATGATAATGTTTCAAAGGAGTCCCCGGAAATGTTCGTGATATGAAGCTGCTTGTTTACATGTTCTCCAAAACATCCAAAGACGGCCGTATCAGGGCATAACCAACAGGGTATAGGAAGGCACGCCGCATGCCTGACGATCTACCTACCCAATTTCATTTCTAAGGACCGAATCAGTTGAGAGGCGCAAGCCTGGATCGGGGACGCCGTGCATCTGACTGCATTGTGCCGCCGGATGCACACAGATCCCTTAACTTGTAGCTTAATTTTGCTGCTCTCCCATGCAATTCCAGCGAATGTCTCCACCCACATCGCTTCTAAGTAAGGCTGAATTTTTTTGACAAGCTAAAGGATCGAAGGCATCATCAACCGAGACTGAGAAGTTATGTACTTAAACATTCATGGCCAGTACGAATGACCGTGGTGCATAGTCGCAATGATATCCCCCCACCAAATTAATCAAGCGCGATCCTCAAAGCATTCACCAAAAGCCTCCACAAACGCACCCCAAATCTCCACCTTATCCGTGACCCCCTTCAACTTATATCCCGTATTTGGCTTCACAAACACCACCTGTCCCTGCTTCAGCAGCTGCTCCCTCTGGCCATCCGCAAGACTCAACACCGCATCGCCTTCCGTAACAATAAACACCACCGGCCCGTGAATCCCTCCAGCCACTACCTCCTCTTCCCCCTTCCGCAGTTTGGTATTCAACAAATCGAACTCGTCCATCGGCGCAAAAACTATCTGCGTCTTTCCGTTCCCGGATTTCGCCCACGTCTCATGCTTCAGCTCCAGATTCTCGGAGGGCAACGGCTCGTATTTCAGCATGTCGACGAAGACACGGGGGTCGTTTCGTTCAGGCGGAGCACCGAACCCACAGGCGATCTTTCTCCGTCAGCTTCCGGCCGACCATAGGGGGGACGGGTTATACCATATTATCCGACCACGCCATGCACTCAATCACGTCGCCCTCCAAGTACGCATGGATGCAATCCGCGGGCACTGCAATCCCCTCCCCTTTGTGCAAACGCACATAATTCATGAAGAATACCGCTGCAAACAATCCCACATCTTCAGGGTAATCATTGAGCACCTTTTTTATCACCCTCGCGAGGCCCTGGCGCGCGCCCAGTCCTCCCAGTGATTCCTCCTCGCCACGCTCGACATGTGTAAGCAGCTGTTGCGAGCAGGCCGCAATCTCGGTGTGCGTCGTGCCCAAAAGCTCAGAGAACATGATTTTCAGCAGCTTCGAAGCTTCTTCACCATCATCCTCGGCCGCCAAAAACTTCTCCACAGTTTCGTGGTCCGAAAGCACCTTTCTGAGCTCCGGCACCACCTTGAGAAAGCTCTTGATCTCAGCGGTAGGCCGGAACCCAACGAACCCCTCAAACGTCTCGGAGATGGTGACCGCCACTTCCGGCTTGTGGTTCGGATCCACAAAAACCTCGTTTTTCCCCGTCTCGCGTTTTTCCTTCTTCATGAGGCGTGTTGCGAGCGCGCGGTCAGGGTGCGCTTGCAGCGGGAGGGCTTTGTCGAAGGAGAGGACTTTGAAGAGGAAGGGGAGATGTTTTTCGTGGCCGAAGCGGTGATAGACGCTCGGTGTTAGGTATTCTTCCGGGCTCGACTCGATCAGTTTCGATAGCGGCACGCCGTCGAGGGTATGCGCCATGCCGTTGGGGTGGTCCCCCATCCATATCTACAGCCACCGCATCAGCCACTGAACCGGAGGGCCAAGCGGGGGGGGGGGGGGGGAAGCACTTCGCCATATGGCTGATCTTCATCAATCTTGAAGTCCGTCTCAGGTGTTGCGAGCGCAAAGCGTGCAGCCGCCGATTTTAAGCCTTTCTTTCCATACGGCGAGGGCTGGACGAAGACGCGGAGACGGATGAAGGGGGAGGGCATTTCGGTAGGATGGTATTCGAACGAAGCCAAGGTCGTCATTTTCGGTTCGGTTTATAAAGTGTGGACGGCTTGGTGATAATCTGGGCCGAAAGTGAGAAATGCAAGGGTTTGAGATGGAAACCGTTTCTGGTTTGGGTGGTTGTGTATGATGATGATGCTCTGACGTAAGAACCATATCGCCACCGCTTGGACCCAAGCCCTGTTGCACGACGATCAGGATTCAGGATCACCCAGCGGTCCGGAACAGAGACGCTTCGGATTCGTGATCCGGGCACAGCAATCGTGAGATTCCACATCGCAGCAGGATTCTACAGCTCGTCATAGGCTGTCACTCGCGAAATGTTCCGAGTGACTACTTGTGTATGGGTAAGCGTAATTACAAAAACGTCAGTGGCATCTCGACACAGTGAATCCATATTCATTCATACAAAATTCCCCCTTTTGGCAGACCCGACTCCCTATTCCTCACAGATATAATGTATAATACACCCAAACTCCCTACAATCAAACCACAAAAGCAAATGCTATCATACACCCCCACTCTCAGTCCTGAAACGAGAGAAAAATTCCAATCCGAAGCAAACCTACACGACCTGGAACAACCAATCTGCGTCCTCCGTCGCCGCACCAGCCCACCCATTCCCGACTCCCTCGCGTCCCAAAGCCTCACCCGGCACCCTTGGAAAATTAAACCACGAAAACACATCGAGCAAATCGCCCTGCAACTCCCCCTGCGGTTGCATCTCGACCGGCATCAAAGGCGTCTGCAACACGTGCGCAGGCGGCTTTCGCATATCCGGTTGTCGCGATATCATCACATCTACCGAATACGCCGTCATCCGCATGTCCGACAGGATCTCGACGCAGCTTCTGTCCGCGCCCTCAGACTTGTGGCCGCCCATCACCAGCTCGTCGATCACTCGCTCGATAATGCCGTTGTATCGGCCGGCAACCTCCCACAGCTTTCCGGCTTCGCGTAAGGCATCCAGGAAGAGCCGGACATCTGGTATCTCGCCAGATTCAGTGGTGGAGGCGTGGACGAGAAGAAGGCGTGTGGCTACCCAGATGATGAAGGCGAAGGTTGGGCCCAGTAAGGGGAGGATATTTTGTGAGAGGACGAGCCGGGTGATGGCGGAGATGTTTTCGACGGCGGAAAGGCAGCGTTGAGAGGCGGAGTAGGAGGGGCCAAAGATGCTGGAGCGGGTGGTGGGGTAGGCCGCTGCCGAGTGGAGGCGGATTATCGCGCTGTTTAGGGTCAGCCGGGAAGTCGAGGTGCGGCAAAGGAAACATACGTGTTGTAGTAGGCATGCAACATCACCCAGCTGGGGTCTACTCCGCCACCGTTCGTGTTGAGGGCGCGAGTAAGGTTGCCGTATGACATTGGAAGGGAGTATTTCCATGATGTGAGAGCTTTGTCGAGAGTGCGGTATTTGAGTTGCCA